TGTCTTGATGGAATATATTGTTGAATTTCGGAAGACTTATTCATTTTGTCTGCTTATAGTCCAAAAATCTTGAAGTGATATTTCATCTTTTGCGCCAATAATTTATATGAAATATTGCTGAGGGTTATTTTTTATCTTTCCTTTTTTTTCTCAGAAATTTTGATTGCTCCATTTATTGGATGTCTACACCCTACCAGCACAGTACTTTGGTTTCAGCGTCAATCGTTGTATGCGACGACTTGCGGAGATTGCCGTAGATGCTGTACTGTCAGTAGCAGATTTGGAAAAGAAGGATGTCGATTTTGAACTGATCAAAATTGAAGGGAAAGTAGGGGGCAGACTGGAAGATACATGTTTGGTAAAGGGAGTTGTTATCGATAAAACGATGAGCCATCCTCAGATGCCAAAGGTTATTGTTTGCATACATATATCATTTTCAGCTTTTCGTTAATGTTAATAATAAAGTTTTAATAACTTTACTGTGGCAACTATTGCCGTTTTGATTTATAAGTAATCGAGATTTCGTAAAGTAATAATCAAAAAAGGTAATTGCCCTCTCCAATCGTTGCAGGAATTAACTGATGTGAAAATTGCAATACTTACCTGTCCATTTGAACCACCGAAGCCGAAAACAAAGCATAAGCTTGACATCACTTCAACTGCAGATTTCCAAAATTTACGAGAATATGAGCGAATAACTTTCGAAAAAATGATCGAGCAGGTGATTTTTTCACGATGTTTAAGTTTTCTTTTCCATTTTTCTCTTGTTTTTAGGAAGGAATTATTTCCTACGATGGCAGCAGTTTCAGTTGCTTTGAATCTGTTTGATATTTCTGGCTTTTTCTTCCATTGGGTCATATCGCGACAGTGATTTTTTCTTGAACTTCAGATCAAAGAGAGTGGCGCTACTCTAGCAATCTGCCAGTGGGGTTTCGATGATGAGGCCAATCATCTTCTACTTGCCCATAATCTCCCAGCAGTTCGATGGGTTGGTGGACCCGAGATTGAATTAATTGCTATTGCAACTGATGGTCGCATTGTTCCACGTTTTGCTGAACTTAAATCCGAAAAACTGGGAAAAGCTGGGAGAGTTCGCGAGCTGTCATTCGGAACTGCTAAGGCAGATTTTTTTTATATTTCGTTACTCACAATGGTGATATTTTTGCGCTAAAATTGCGATTAGAATTATATTTCTATGCGTGCATTGCCAATGACGCTTATGCGCATGTTAGGCATATCCGTATGTTTTCGTCCTCTGACGACTGTTAGTAGAACTAGGTTAAAAGTCAAACGAAAAATAACTAGTAACAAAGATATATTTTCCCTGAAGGATGATTGGAGAAAAACAGTGTTTGTTATAGGATCGTATGCTTTGTATCGAAGAATGCCCTAATAATCGGGCTGTCACCGTATTTATTCGCGGTGGCAACAAACTAATGATTGAGGAGTCGAAGCGTTGTTTGCACGATGCTCTTTGTGTTGTTCGCAATTTGATCAAAGATAATCGAATTGTTTATGGTGGTGGCGCGGCAGAAATTTCTTGTTCGCTGGCTGTTGCAGAAGAAGCAGATAAAGTAATCGTATTTAGCTTAAACCGTCTAGAAGTGTTCTTTTCTCACATTTTTTTTTCAGTTTTCCAAATTTAAAATGCTGCCCGGTTATTTATAAAATCGATTTAATATTTAGATTGAGGGTATTGAACAATATGCTTTTCGAGCATTTGCGGACGCTTTGGAAAGTATTCCTATGGCACTGGCTGAAAATTCAGGCCTTTCTTCAATTGATACAGTAACAGATCTTAAAGCAAAGCAGATCCAACAATCTAATCCGAGATTGGGCGTTGATTGCCTCGCTGTTGGCACTAACGGTAAGTCGTCGGTGAAAGTAGTTCTTTTAAAATCGGTTGTTTTGACGAAATAACTGAAGTGATGGAATCGAAAGTTTAATCTCTGAAACTAGGTAATGTTAGAATACTTACCCAGTTCATGTGTTTATGAGCCTTGATATTATAACGTATTAACATAGATTAATGAACGAAATCAAGACAAAGTTCCGAATAATGGTAATAATGGTATTTTAGAATTGAGAGATGTGAGATCGTATTGTGATTCTCTATTACAACATTAACATTTCATTTATAGAAAGTCATTTCATAAAAAAGTTTCCTGTTCCAAAAGTTCTAAAGATGTTTGTATTGCAAACAAAAGAATATTCATATTCATCCTGCAGATATGGAAAAACAAAAAGTAATGGAGACATTGTTGTCGAAAAAAGCACAGATATCTCTTGCAACGCAGGTTTGTTTATTTTCATTTCACTAGTAAAGGATTCTAAATTTTTGGGAAAAAGTTGATTTTTGGGGATTCACTTTCCTGGATTATTTTTTGTGTTACTTTTATTGTTGATCGCGGAAATGGATAAATTTTTTTTTTAATTTAATGTATGCAAGCTTTTGTAGGTGGTGCGCATGATCTTAAAAATCGATGATGTCCGAGTTCCAGAGCCCGAAGAACAGAGATGTGCAATGTGATGATATTATTACTATACGTTTAACTTGTTTTGTTGCTTGTTAACATTGGAAATAAATTTTTCTTTAACTTGAGTTTTTTTTTTAAATTTTGGAATTATGCCGTTTATTCGGCTTTGAGTATTGTTGATTATATGGAAGTTATCTGTTCATTTGTTATGGTGCACATTTGATTTTATGAAATTAACTGATTGATTGAGGAAATGGTGGGAATGAAAAATCATTTCTCAAGAATTTTTTTGTAAATTTGAAAAAAGTACGATGAGGTTCAGTAATCACAGCAGTCGATAATGGTATACTGAATAACCATAGGACGGTGAAGATGTGGACATTGAAGAAAGAAGTGGTCGTGGGCGTGGCCTTTTTTTACATATATATGTTTTTTTTTCGAATAGATTAGGAAAGTTTGTAGATTTGTTTGGAATTTTAGAATTGAATTTTCATTTTACCTACAAAAGTCGATTGTTTTCTGTTTTCTAGAGTTTTTCCTTTGTTTTTCGTCAAAGTATAAGAAATAGCATGACGGTGTTAAAGATTAGGGGACGAATTAGGCAGACTTCAGCTTACTTTACTGTGGATGTTTATAAAATGATATTTGCGGAATTTTAAAGATTAAGATCTCGAAAGTAATTTGCGTTAATATTTCCCAAGTTTCTATTTAACCAACGGATGTGGAGTCTAGGATTTTTGCTCACTTTTGGTTCTTCGACTTTGTCTAATTCAGTTCTATTTTCTGCTGTAGGCTGACTTTTAAATTTTCTGACTTTAGTAGCTTGCATACTTTCCACTGTAGTTTCAGTTGATGGGGGAGCTGCATATTACGATAAGGATCAAAATCTATGGCAGATGAGACTGTTTTCTTAGATTCCGAAGCTCTTTTCACTTCTAAGAAAAAGCCGTTTGCTCCAGCCCCCCTATCAGTTGCAAAACTGAGCAGTGCGGATATGTTATTAGCTTGGATAATTTCTCAGAAACTTCTCAACCCGGCATATTCTCAAATTCAAATAATCAAAGGATAATGGTGGATAGGTCGCGCTTTCAAACATGGACTATATGTTAAAATTTCTTTGACCATGTAGACTGAATTTGATGGATTTCCAGATCATGTGATGGATGTGTGAACTTCTTTCTTGTTGTATTGCTTTTGTACCGTATCCATTCAGAGAATAAGTGTGCAATGAGAAAAGTGGGGATGAGAAAATATTTGGTTATTTTCGTAGTTGCTTTCGAAATTTAATGATAGTTTAGTTTTTGAATATAAAATAGATACGATTCTGTTTTTGCAATGACATGGCATAGGACATAGTTTGATTTGTTGCCACTGACACTGGGTGAGATGAAGCGAAAACCACTAGTTGTATAAATGAAATGATGCGTTAAAAATGCTTAAAAAATTGAGGATAGTGGAGGGTTGGGTTTGGCGTAAAACCATTTTACTGTATGAAATTTTCTAGTTGAGGAAGGAAAGGAAGATGAGAAAGGACGGATAATGGACAATTTTATAGAGTTTAGTAAGTTTAAATTAAGTTTTGCAATGGTATTCAGTAGTTTATCTATATACAAAGTTAAAAATATCTTCGGTTTTTTTCAAATTTTTTATTTTAACTTATTTTATCTTTGGCTGTTTCGAAAATTTTCGAAAAAAGTCGAAAATTTTACCATTGGCTCATTTGAAAAAGTGTCCGTTGGAACTGTCTTCATTTCGTTATCATCAATAACATTTATGTCGCAAAAATTTTTTGACTGTGATATACCTAAAATAAAAGAAATTTTGCTTTAACATACACTTTACTTGTCCATAGATCAAGAATACAATGAGAAAAAACTGTTTTTGAAAATTTAGAAAAAACTGTTTTTGTTTGTCATTCTTTAAATGATGCATAACTATGATCATTTGCTTAAAAGTAAATTCAACTCTCATCAGTATTGTTAAGGAAGAGGGGAAAAAGTTTAATGGATTTTAATTCGAAAGATAACAGCGATACGAATATTGTGTGATGCCCAACTATTGTTACGGAAGCAAAAAAAAAGAACCATGGATTCCATTTCGAACATATAACAATGATATGAGAATTGTATAATATCGAAGTTCAGTAGCGACATATCTTGGAGGATTTTCAAAAATTGAGAAATCGGTAAGTTTTGTTAATTAGATGGTTCGGAATATTTCTGTAAATCACATGATATGATTCTGATGGAAAATACTGCTTTCTTCAATATGGTGTTTGCTGAAGAAATCTCTAAAGAACGTCTGCATCAATGGAAAGCAATTTTTTCTTAATTTTCAGTTACCATATAGTATTTAAAAGGTACTATTTCAGTGGGAGATTTTGCTTGAATTTTATTATCCATGAAGAATGCTGAAACAAATTACATGATTAACTAAATCCTATTTCCTTACCGTTTTCTTTTCCTGCTCAGTTCTTTAGTACCATGGTTACTGTATTAAACTTTCTTTTTTTCTGAATTTTCAGTTACTTACTGCCAAATTACTAGTTCAAAGAAAACTTATCAGTTTTGTGATCATATGTTTGTAGCGACAAGTACATCCAGCAATGTTACTACAACCTACACGAATAGACCAATGGTTTGTTACTTTGTTCTTTTCCTTTGTATTCATTTCCATTTCCGAATCGAAACGAAAAATTAGACGATAACATTTCGAAGTGATTAGAAGCTTGTATGTTGCACAATAATAAATGATTATTAAGAATAAGTTATTCCAGGATAGGTTTTTTTTTTAATATACTGCATATTTCATTTACTATTCTTGATACTAATCTCGAAAGTGATGAGTGGACGAATTGTAGTAAGTTTAATAACTTTGTGAAACTTCATCTGAGGGACGCTGTAAGAAGTGACGCAATATCGTTTATATCCATTAAGTTAATCAAAAGTCTATTACTTTTTTCTTTGAAAAATCCGATATTTCGGTTTGTGGATGTTGAATTCTGTTAATGTTTGAGCTCATGAAGATGGAAAGTGTAGTGCAGCGGGAAGATCCATCGGTAGATGTTGTTACATTGGAAACTCCGAATTTGACATCACTTATTGGTACCAATTCAGCTACATTGCCACGTAAGTTCCATATCATCTATAATCATCTGATTAAGCTAGCAAGTATTATGTTGTCGAGAGAATAAGTATTATGTTGTCGAGAGAATATGTTTTTCCCTTCCTTAGAATCAATTTCACCATTATTTGCTCACAACATCCATTCTTTACTAGTTAAAGTGGTCATTTGTTCCTTTACCGCTATAAAAAATCCTTTACTGTTAAAATTTGTGTTGGTGATATCTGTTTTGAATAGATTTATTGATTTACAAATTTCATCCTTTTCGTTTACCATTTTAATGAACTATAATACAAGTACTTACGGACATAGCATTTTTTTGCTTAGTTTCACATTGTTAATCACAGTGAATGTCCAGTCATGAAATGAGTTTTATAGTTTTCAATCAATTTTCGCAAACTTGTTTGTGTTAATTGTGCAGCAGTGCTACCATTTTCATAATTTTTATAAAACATTATATAAACAATGCATGAAAAGCTTTATGATTTTTGTCATTCGCGACTTATTGTAGCGGATTTCCCATCAACAGCTGAACTGATGCAGAAATGTCTTACGGTCAACCCATTTGAATTAAAATTCCGTGAAGCAAATCGACGTATCAGTCAGTGCAGCGAAGAGCTTCTTGAACAGGTTTATTTTTGTCGTTTTTACCGCCAGTGCTTTAAACTATTTCAACGCAAGTTGGTGAAATATTGAGAGAACATTACGAAAGTCGTAACAAATTGCTGCACTAAAAGAAAAAGTTTAACGTAGTTCGATGTAAAACTATCATTCCAACCAAATCATTCCTGTTTTTTTTTTTGTTCACAGAATGGACTTGTTCCGGTGACGCTTTCATTACCAACGACAGGTGGCATAACCTTGCTGAAACTGCCATCATCCCTGGCCCATTCTCCTGGCATCTTCTCAAACATCAACGTTCTTTCAGCGGATTTCGAAGGTGATGGGTTAAAAAGTGCCGACTTATCGCGTTTAGTGCAACAGGTAAAATTGCTTTTGGTATAAGTGAAAAGTAAAAAGAATGTAGCTGTAGTATTAAAGAATATCTTAATTTTCAGATGAAAGATAATGGCGGTTTATCAACACAGAACTCAAGAACTGGTGAAGACACTGGACAAGCGCCTCGAACCGCTGACGTACTTAATGCCGTTCTTGATATGCATTCTGATAGGTTGGGAACGCTTGCTTTTCTTGGTGCAACTGGCACTGCCACACCTCCTTTGGTATGTTGCACGTAATTGCTTCAGAGTGTGAACAGCTGAGGTCATTAATTGGTTGCGTGATATGTAACGTACTTTTTATTCTTTCTGTAGGCACCAAATAAAAGTCTTGGTTTTCATTGAAATGCATGAGGTCTTCCACTTTCAAAAATAAGTGGAAAATGACCTTTTTTTGAACAAACTTGAATTTTTAGTTTTTAACTACAACATGAACTGTACTGTCAACGAAATAGGAGTATGAGTTAGCAAAATCGGCCTCTGAATCTGTATTAATCTGTATTTTGGTGAATGTTTTTCGACTTGGTGAACCTCATATGAAGCAATTTTTTTTTGCTTCATATCTGTGTTTCCACAGATTTGTTTTGAAACTTACTACGGAACAGTTTATTCCAATAATTGGTCAAATGCAATAAAATGTAGCACTTTCTACTTTTCAGAAGGGACCGTTGGGATCAATCCTGCCGACATCCTCATCTGTTGCTGTAGCTCTTTGCTCTGATCCGCCTGTAGTAACACCATCAACATCGTGTAGTGCAAATGTCGGTGGTCCTGAATGTGCATCTACTTTGTTATCATGTTCGCCATGTTCCTCGGAATCAGCTTCTGCTTCTTTAACACCGCTAATTTCTGCTATAAATAGTCCCGTTGTCAGTGCATCAGCGAATATTTCAAGACCTGGAAGCTCTGCATCGGCTCAAACGCCGTATGTAAACGTGACTTGACTTCTTTATATTTTGTTTTCGCATGATAGTATCAGCTGAGCACTGTCACTTTTCATCCATAGGTATTATTTGTCAGTTACTATCTTTTTTTTTCAGTAAAAAAAGATTGTCAGTACGGGCAGCAGCGGTAGCTGCACCGACAAGTGTTGAACCGGTGGTCTCAACTCCTTTTCTAAGTGCTGTTGGGACAGTGAGTTTTTTTATCTTGTATATAGTGATTTAAGTGGAAGATCTTCAGTTTAGGCTAGGAAAAAGGTGGCAAAGTCTTTACAGAGATGAATAGAACAATGGATTGCACAGTCTTGAGAATGTCGTGGTTTGAATTGGATGGAACACGAATTTTTCAATTAGATGGGATGTTGTATAAGAGGTCTAGCATAATGTTTATTTTTCATTAAGCTATTATTGTTAAGTGTGAAAATTTTATTTCTCGAAATCGGTTTTCAAATTATTTTTATATTAAGCTGAGGTTTTGCAGCTGTTACCAGCAACAAATATCGAGGAACGGAGTGATGTGTCGCAAATTTCCAGTGCACAGTTATCACCAACAGATCATTGGGATCCTCGTGATGTGAAACCGGTGATTGTTGGAAAAAATGCACCGTCATCGTTGCAGACAGTAATTTTTTTTTACAGAACATTAATAGAAAGAGAAGTGGAAAAAAATATGGCCTTTTTTTCTATTTATCAGTTTAATGATTTTTACACAAGTCAATCAGTTCTGGTTATTTTCAATCTTTCATCTCTAAATAGGAATATTTTTTTAAATAAGGATATATTTTTTTTCAATGTTCAGTGTTTTACAGAATCAGCAATATTTTGATCACGAGGAAGTCATTTATCCGCAGGATGAGCAGCGTAAACATACGGAAACAATGTCATCAGCACCAAGAGGGTTTGTTTTCCGTTAATGAGTGTTGATTCTAGGAAATTAGAAAGTAATCCTTTAATTTGAAGTCATCCGGACACTCCGAAAGTTCTTGCTTAATACACTTATATTTCACATTCATAATTTAATCCTTACTTTCATTGTTTTCGAATGTAGTGGGTTTGTTTTTTAAGCTGTTTTGAAATTACATAACACTTTTCTTTATGCTTATTGAATGAACAAATATTTGTAATTCAGACATTTAATATGGCAAAGTTGCAGCAGAGAAAGTGCTGTATCTCGTTCAACGACATCATCACATCGCGGTGGACGAGGACGTGGTCGTAGTTCTCTGACTGCCGATTTACCACCCGATGAACGTCGTGTTACAATTCTGGAAAGGAATAAAGCGGCTGCTGTGCGGTATCGGAAGCGAAAAAAGGAAGAACATGATGAGATGATTACTCGTGTTCATTTATTGGAACAAGAAAAAGTGGCACTCTCTGTAAGTCGATATAATTTGTTAAAAAATCCTTAAATTATATGACTGAAATCTATCATCGGATATAAAGCCGATATAAAGCGGATATAAAGCCTTTTAATAAATGAACAGAACTGATGAAAGTTAATAGTAGAATTTTTTTTATTTTTGCATGATACTTTTCGTGGTTTCTATCAGTGTAGGATGATTTTCTGAAGGCAAGACAAATTGTTGCTTTGGAAAATTGAAGCAAAAAATGAGATATGGTTTTGATATTGTAGGATTCAATTCAAATTGTAGGTTCATATTTCAATTCTTACATTTCGTATTCTGGTTAAACATGGCATTGTAAGCGAATTCAATAACTTTTTAGCCACAGAATTTAGTAAACTCCTTGCAGACTCAAAATCAAATACTACGTCGTGAACTGGAAAGAGTTACAGCCTTGCTGAAAACACGTGAAGCATGCTGTGTTTGCCACTTGAGTGGTGTGGGGGAATGTTTGCGGAATGGATCACCGCTAGAAGTAGACGTTCTTTCTCCTCAAGCTGAGCCGCATCATGATCTCTCCAATTATATATCACAGCAATTGGTTTCATCAGTCAGTCCTAACAAGAAGCCGTCGAAATGATTTCAGAAATTCCATAAAATTTTCTGATGGATTGATTCCAAAAATATACTAAGATCTGACGACATATGTTTTTTAGCTTTTATTCGTGAGCTTTGCTTTTCACCTTTTCTGAAATTGATTAACCAACTGTTAAACCTTTTCATCTGGTCTTTTAATGCGCCGATTTTTCGTTTTCAGATTGTTTAATGACTTCATTCGATATGCTTGCGAATATACATATCAAGCGAAAATATAGATCAATTATATTGGGCAGAACATATTATTTGAAAGATACAAAAGTAAACCTCATAGAATGCAGTTGAGTTTTTCTACTTTCAGCTCATCAGTGAGAAAAACCATAATTTGGCAGCTTGGGATTTCGGGACCGGTGCTATTTTTCCCAAATCGACTAAGGGATGAAAATATGTAAGATCTGTAAATATTATCCGTAAGATGTAAGAAAACGTAGGATATTATTGGCGAAAAGCAATTGTTTATCCATATTATATATCAAATATATGATGCTTCATTATTTTAATTTTCCGGATGGAAAGTTTCAGGGCGGAAATTTCACCGGTTTATATTTGTTACATTTCAGATATTGCTTCATTCATTTTGTCATTTGCACTTTATTTTTTCCATGTGTTTATATGGTACGTGTTGATTGCTAACATAATTATAATTGAGTATTTTCATTTATTTTATAGTTTTTATATTTTTCAAACATATTGTAGAAAAACTGTTGGATCTTCAAAAGTAGTTTTGGACAGTGAAAAATGACCAAGTACCAATAATTCCTCTCTGATACTGTTTATTACAGCTATTATCCTATTTTTGAAATACGCATTTTTGACTTATTGGTCAGCAAAAAAACACCATGCCTGCTGATTGGCGGAGTCCGTCAATGGCACCTTGTCTTAGAGGAACTAATTGGGATGTATAATTTGTTTCCAGCAAGTGACAAAAAAACTTAATTCCTGATTATTTCTGAAAGATAAATTGTCAATAAAGATTTGTTTTGAACAAAAGAAAAAACTGTTTTAGAAATTTGATGTGGTGTAAGTCGGGAACTGTTGCAAGGGATCATTTGTAAAGCTTGCTCGAAATTTCATGCTTAGTACAAATTAAATTTAAGTAACGACTAAAAATCATTGAATATTGGTACTCGTCGTTTTTTACAGTCTGGATTTTTGAATTCGGCATTTTTTTTCACTGAATCTATGACGTGAGTGATTTCTAATCAATGGGACTTATAATGCGGCATTTATAGATCTTTCCAGGTTTTTATTTTGTGTGTCATACTTTACATTTTGTCATACTTCTTTATATTTACTTTTTTATTGAAGTATTTTATTCATCACGCACATTAACGTTGTTTTACTAATAGTTTTCACTGACTGATCCTGAATTGAATCATTTTGAACTAATAATGGGTCCTTTTTCTCTGGTCAGTGAGAGGCCAGGATTATGTAGTTCTATATTTCGTAAATTTCCATTTTTCTAGATACTTTTTTAATTGTAGTTTTTATTTGTGTTTGTAATGGATTTCATCGGATTAATCTCTTTCGTTTTTATGTTTTGTTACTTCAACTGTTGTTGTTTATATGGAAATTTTTCTCAGCATGAATGCATTCAATTCTAGACCGGTGAGCATCTTTTCAAGAATTTGTAATGTTTGATCCAAAGTGGATAAGTGTTTTTATTGACGGAATAGGCGAATGAATGAACGAAATATATGATAAGGTATCAGTTTTTTATGTTAATGGAAGAGGTGTTGATATCTCAAAAAATTTTTGCTAAGCTGTTGGTGTAATCGATTTAGTCGTTATTTTTAATTATCGATCATTGGAGATCTGTTTTTGACTGTTAACTTTTTCGCCATTTCCGGAAATACTTTTTTCATCTTGAATTGATAGTTTTTTTGTTTTTGCAAAATTGTCTGCGGCTGCTTTTTCCAACTCTTTAATAATAAAATATTGGCTTGTGCTGTTTACTCGTTTTTAGTTTCAAAAACTTGGAATTTTCAGTTATTCTTCTGTCGGACACACAACACGAAGACGTTGAATATTGAGTGTAAACATTTATGCAACAATTCCATGCCATCGTCATTTGCAGAATTTGGCATCACTTGAGAACTAAATCAAACAATTCCATAGTTGATTAGCAGGAAAGGAACTGATTGACAGCAGATAAATTATGCAAGAAAACTAAGGTAAAGGGATGAGGAATATGTATCAATTACGTTTGTGCTGAAATGTTTTTATTAATTTTCGTAATTTGAATCATGCATGCGCATTTTTTTTCTATTTGTGGACATCAGTTAATGATGAATGACATTTTCAATAGTGTCTGATCTTTGCTGAAATTTTTTGATATAAATAAAAGTTACAGCTTACAAAGTTCTTAAAGGTTTGTTGTCCTCCTATAATGACCTAAATTATCAATGGACTTAATAGTTAGAGTGGGATTTATCACGACATATGTTTGGTATAAATTATTAAATACAAATATTTTATCGCAACATTTAAAGTATAACTTTATTTTGTTTGATATCGTAAAGATTCTCATAAAAATTTCGTAAAATACTCAACAAATATCGATTAGATAAATTTCAAGGTAAAATAGGTTGTTATGGACACATTCTAATTGAATGATTCATGCTGGCACTGCAAATTCCACTCGTTTGTTTATATGTATTGTATTTGAAAAAAAAAATGATTTGTCAAGAAACATTGCAGAATTTTATTTCAGTCTTCTTTGAAATATATCCTGATTCTTTTTAACATTCGTTTATATTTCATATGAAATTTTTGATGACAAAATCAGTTTTCATTAATTTTTATGATGGCTAAATTAAATAAAAAAAGAATGATTTTGAGGAAAAAAATGAAATTTCCTAGCAATTAAAATTTATAGCTTTATCTTAAAAACTTAAAATTAGTGCTAATTACTTTTATTTTCACCTAAAGGTATGTCAAACCTCCTTTCCTTTTTTTTTTTAATGACAATGCCACAACCTTTGCATTTTTTTTGTATGAAACTCAAAATGGATTAAGAATTCTAATTGTTAAAAAATCTCATTAAACTTTTTCGAGGACTTTAGTTTAATTAATAATTAAAGATTCAGTTACGTTATTGAAAATTTGATCGCAATTTAAAAACTCACATAATTTTTATACTTCCATCAATTCATTTCATTTTCCATCCAGTAAAAATGTCAACTTCTTTTTTTTTTTGTTTCTTATTCAATACCTGCTGAATTCGTTTTCAAAAAAAAAAGATGTAAATAATGAAATTCAGCTGTTTTTGATGTAAATTTGATTTTTTACTAAGCTTAACTTAAGCAATTTATGGTTTATTTCATACAGCATAAAATTTTATAGATTTTATACATTCCAAGATGGTTTTAGTTGGATTCATATTTATTATTTTTGTTATATACATTGAATTACTTCTTCCAATTATTTCTTTAAACAAATTAACCAATCAATGGTCTTCTAATTGTTTTTAAAAAAAGTGAAAAAATTCTTTTCAAATTTATTAATTATTCAACTCAAAAATGAAAAGTTACATGAAATGACAACAAAGTTCTTAGGCAACTTTGTATGCATATCAATCAAAAAGTTTCACAATTTTATTTTCAATCCACAAAGTCATTTAACGAGTAGAAGTGGAAAATTAAAACTAGCAATTTAATTAAAAAAAAAAGGAAACGAATGAAAATGAAATAAGTGCCGATGAAATTAGCTTTAGTTATGTTGTTCTATTATTAACAATTCAATTCTGAATATCAAACCAAATTCCAGCCTTCACAATTTTTCATATCACCTTATCAGCGCCAATTTCGAATTCACCAGTTTCCCATTCGATTTCATAGCTGTATAAATCAATCATTTTTAGCAGATCGTTGATCAAAAATTGTAATAAACATTCTATGTTATTAATTTATTCCATCTGAAATCATTGCCCAATGCATTTCCACGATGATACTGATAGTAGTCATTATCACGGTGAAGTTAATACCACCGAGGTACCAGCGTGTGCAGGAAAAGGTTTTTCATGTCGTAAGTCTTTTGATATGATTTTCCCGTCCAAAGTAAAAACGTACATTTATTTTTTGATGAATTTCTGAATAAAAATTTTACGATATTGCGGAATTTGTTGTAGTTCCCTTTGTTAAATATATGCAGTTTTGATTTTGATTACGGATTAAAATACAAATCTCAAATGTTTCAACCAACTATCTTCGCAACAAATGACTTAATTTCTTGTCGTTACAAAAAAAAAAAAGTAATCTTGGAAATTAGTGCAATAGCATAGCTGTACAATATCACAATACCAAATGAAATTGTCGCCAATTTCATATTCAAACAATTTTTTGCTTGAAAATTTTTAGCAGCCTTATACAGTACGATCCAGCTCATTTCATACTTTACGACAGTTGCTGATTTCATAATTATACCACTTTTGGTTTATTTATCAATTG